TCAGGTATACTATATGATAAATAATTGATGAAATTGTACAAACAAGTATAAGTCTTCACTAAGAACTTGCCTGTCTGTTTCATTGTTGCTCGGCTCTGTGACGTAGGTGTGTAACCCGATTTAGGACATGATTATTTTGACTCCACCTCATATATTTAGGATAATATATTTGATGTCAGTAATATATAATGATATGATATTCCATAAAAACTAAAACTGGACAGCACTAAAACACATTGAATCAATCAACGGACACATAGACTGTCATCATTCTATCCAGGTTTATTTCAAAGAAAGAAAGCCCCATGACAGACCATACAATTAACAACCCAAAATGATGAATACAATAAAATCGTTCAAGTCAAAACATATAATATAAAAAAAGTACCTATAGAAAAAGATTAAAAAGGAAAAATAAAATGAGTTTGCATTCGATAAAATATTTATAAAATGTTGTAAGAGAAATATGGTGTTGTCAAAAAATAAAAATAAAAATAAATAAATAACCAAGTGTCATTGAATGTTTCTTTTCTCTATAATCTATACTTATATAATAAAGTATCATATTTACTAAATTTAGTAGGTTGAAAAGTCAACATAATTAATGCATTGCTATTTCTATCCAAAATTTTATTTAATTATTTTATTTATTTGTCTTATATCCCATACAATCGGTTTAAGAAAAAAAATCTCATAACATCCGATTAGTAAAAAAAGTATGTAAAATCTTTACTAAACTAAAAAGGGCTTTTGATGAGGATAGACGAGGATAAATTATTATTATTATTATTATTATTATTATTATTATTATTATTATTATTATTATTATTATTATTATTATTTAATAATTAGTAGCTTGAAGAATAAGCTATGGTTTAATTTAAGGGCTTTATTTAAAGGGTCTTATGTTTTGTTATTAGGCAGTAGAATTTGATGAATGAAAATAATTGATCGTGATTTCTTTTGGGAGAGTATCCCGTGTTCTGGAGAGAGTATCTCCTTTTATCCTTCCCATTCGTACGCTTTCGCTACATCAGTTGGTATCAGAGCTCAGTACGATTCGCGATGTCGCCGGGACGAGAAGATGCTGCAAACAAGCAACGTGATGCCACATTCAACGATCGGTTTCAACAGATTGACTACCGATTTCAAGAATTGGACGTGCGTTTCACAAATTTGTTTGCCGATCTTTCGACGGGGATCGAGGATGTGTGTTTGACGCCGAACAACGTGGTTGTTACGGAATGGCAGACGGACCGCGATGGAGGCCGTGACTATCGCGGGGGAAACAGAGGCAGTCGTGGGGGACGCAGCCACGTCGGGGCGCCCCGACAGCGGTCTCCGACACCTCTGAACGGCAACAACGACGACGTTTCAACTTGGTCGGTCAATCCTTTTGGAAACCGTCAACCGAGACGTGATGCTTGTCACGTACCTGCTCACTTTCGCAGCCAACCTCTCATGGACATCCCCGTCACTCGTGAGGAAGAACAGGCCCTGGGCGGGGGCCGATTCAGCGACCATCGGCGATTAGATGCCGGATTTGCGTCGGGCGGTGACCAGAAGGAGGGCGGAACCCTAGAGGCGGCCCCTTATCACGAACGGCGGCCAGCTGGGGTCGA